TAATGTTACCAGATCCAAGAAAAAAGCTGTAAAACCCATAAGGGGGTGTCAGAAGCATGGTCAAAGTGAAAGTATCGTTAATAGTTTTTCTCCTATACGCAGGATTATATTTTTCCAATGGAAGGCACGTAGTTTGCTTTAACATGATTTCTTCTTAAAACTCCGTGTAGACTGTTACTTAGCCTATCTTCTAAGTACTTCCATGCAGTTCTATTTTGCATTTTCTTTCCAGGAACTGAGGTTAAGCCAAGTGGTCTGTAGTTGTTAGTTCCTTCTTACATTGTTTGCAGATGTGAGCTTTATGGATACCCTGTTCTGGCCTCCAGAGCGTCGCCTTAAGAAACTTAGTGCTTTTGGAGGCAAACACAAAAGCTCTGAGGTTGCTTTGGGTTTATGTAAGTACCAAAAACTAAGTGCCCTGATGAATTTCTTCACACCCTAACTACTTGAAACATCTAAGTTGTCTGCAATCAGTTTTGTAAGCAGAGTTTTTATCCCAAGCTTGTAAATTACATGTCCTGGACAGTTAAAGTTTTTTTAATATTAGACCATCGTGTTTGTTTTTTTGTTGTTGTTTTATATAAAGCCTAACCCAGAGAGCACAAATAGAAATCCCAGGGGTGCTCTCAGGAGCGAGGCTGCACCTTGCACTCCTGCTGGCAGGAAGGATGGAGCGTGCGGCCTCCCAGGATGCCTGTTCATTAGGGAGGCTGGCACCGGAGCTGTGTCTTATTACCCAGTCAAGGTCAGATATATTTAGAATTGTCAGACATTTTCTGGACAAGCACACTAGCAATTAGACCTGTGTCTCTGTTGTTTTTTCTAACAGGCTCGGTGCTGTCCGTGGCACTCTGATACTCTTAATTTCTGGGTATGCAAGAATGTAGACTCTTCTTCTCCTGAGTTCACGATGTAGCACAGATTAGGTGAGAGATAAGTGTGATTTCTCAAGATCGGAGCACTCCTGAGCGTACAATAGACACTCAGGCTTTGTGTATAGCATACTTATCACACTTCTAGTGCCCGCATCTGTAATACTGAGCTCTCTCACCCACCCGAACAGTGCAGCTGCTACAAACCACCTGTTGCAGATGGTTCTCAGCTTAAGGTAAATCCCAAACCATGCTGAGAATTTCTCAGAGAGATAGTTAGGCTGGGCTAAAAATATGTCAGGGGCCATACTAAATATCTGCTAATGTGGGTGATCAAATTCCAGTGCCTCTGCCTGGTGCTTTTTAAGTCACCACCACAGGAATCCCCTTTGCAAATGTTCAGGCTGAGCATCAGATGCCATTCGAGGACTTGGGAGGTTTAGATGTTGGTGAACAATTGGCAGCCAGATTTTTTTCTGGGTTTCTTTAGCCTTGAGAAGACTCGTATGAGTCGTATTATTTATTTCTGCATGATGGTGGCAAGTCAGCTGACAGAGCCAGACTTTTTTCGGTGGTGCCCTCTGAAGGGCAGTGGACATGAGATCGATTTCATTTAAACAGGAGAAAACGGTTCCAAATGGCAAGGGTGCTAAAACACTGGAACAGTTCGCCCCTACAGGTTGTGGAGTCTCTTTCCATGGAGGTATTCACACGCAGCTGGATGATGTACACTTACTGCGTTCAGCTTTGGGGTCCCCAGCACAAGGACACAGAATGGGTCCAGAAGAGGCCACAGAGATGATGCAGGGGCTGGGGCACCTCTCCTACAGACAGGCTGAGGGAGTTGGGGTTGTTCAGCGTGGAGAAGAGAAGGCTCCGGGGAGACCTCACAGCGGCCTGCCAGTGCCTAAAGGGGGCTGCAGGAGAGCTGGGGAGGGGCTCTGTGTCAGGGAGTGGGGTGATGGAACAAGGGGGAATGGCTTTAAACTAAGAGTGTAGGTTTAGATTAGGCATAAGGAAGAAATTCTTAACTATGAAGGTGGTGAGGCCCTGTCACCAGTTGCCCAGAGAAGCTGTGGGTGTCCCATCCCTGGAGGTGTTCAAGGCCAGGCTGGATGGGGCTTGGAGCAACCTGGTCTGGTGGGTGCCAGTGGGAACTGGATGAGCTTTAAGGTCCATTCCAGCCCAAACCATTCTGTGATTCTGTCATTCTGTGATGTCCTGAGTACCACACTCTACTTGACTCTGCTTTGAGCAGGGGTTTTGTATTAGGCATCTCAAAAGGTCTTTTCGAACCCCAACAATTTGGTGACTTAGAGTTTTAAAACATAACTAGACTCTTGGAAGCAATAGAACAAATAAGAAAATACCGAACTGTCATACAAAATGTGCACTGCACAGTTTCCAAATGACCTCTCGGCTTGTGACATTTGAGCAAGCAGCATGTGGGATGCGCCTCCTCTCGGAGACCGTGCAGGTGAAATGGGACAGTGGCATCAAATATAGGCTCAGGTTCCTCTGTAGTCTGGTCCTTGCTCCTGAGGGCTTGAGTACTTCAGGTCATGAGGGTGATTTCAGGCTTTGGACCCGGTTTCTGAAGAAAGGGATGAAGGACGAGGCTGTTTTCATAGGCACAGTGCTACTTCATGGCAGAGCAAAGCTTCCTGTGCCTCAGAAGGAGCCCCAGGAGCCCCAGAGGAGGCTGCAGGTGAAGCATGTCGCCTGCGCTTGTCCTGCCGGCAGCGGGACACGGGGACACCACAGGATATCAGCGCTGTGACTCACCATTTTGGGGGAACCAGCCAGTCATAGCAGGTGCCATCAGCACAGGACAGAGGTCTCACAGAGAGGTCACCTCAGACAGGACAGCATGGTGGCAGTGCTGCTGCCGACACTGGAGGCCTCAGCACCGCCTGAACAGCGCGGCCCTGTTCTGGCTCCTCGGCCCCCCAGCTGCCGATGGAGAGGGCCCTTTCTGACCCTGCCACCAAGGGGACGGGGCTTCTGCACTGAGCTTTCTCTGGCAGTCATGTTTTATTTTCTCACGCTGTTTGTTTTAACTCTCAAGCTGGTTTGGTTCTTCTTGCCCGGGCCCTGCCTTACCCAGCAGCTTTCACACTGACAATTTCCACGTCATTAGGAAACTCCCAAATTAGCCATCAGATCGCTCAGGAAAGCGCTGAAGACCGGCTTGCAGTCGTGTCACTCGAGCAAGGCTCACTTACCACACACAGACCTCCCCACCACGTGGGTGTCGTGTCGCCCGAGGAGAGAGCTCTCCATGCTTCAGCCAAAGTCTGGTCATGGTTGTGTCCAGGTGTGCACGGTGAAACAGCCCAAAGCGTAGCGGTGTGTGCCCCCTCTGTCCTGGGGCTGCCACTGCCCACCTTGTGGAAGCAGCGGTGGATGCCGAGCTCTTCATCCATCTGCTGTATTTTTTACCAAATACTTTCCGGAAGTGGTTGTGAAAGTGTTTTCTCAAACCAGGAACCCAACCTGAGGTCTTTCTGAAAACGCTGTGGTAAAAAATCTCTGAAATCTTGAGATCAAATGAGAATGAAAAGGCAAAATCAGAGCGCCGAAACTCAGGGCTCTTGACAAAGCCCCGGAGATCTGCCGCTCGGCACAGCTGCTGCGCGGCGCCTTCGTCCTTCTGGCACCAGCGGCACGGTGACTGCCAGGCACCCTTTACCCACTTCTGGACTGTTTGGCCACAGCTGAGGCATCCTTGTGGTAATTTCGTCAATGTGACGAGCTCAGAGTTGAACTGCGAGGTCCTTCTCCCCGCTCCGGTCCCAGCACACACCCACTGTTGGGTGGGTTGGCAGCGCTCGCAGCATCTCCTCCAGTAGCACACTTCTGGGGATACTGACACCCCATTTCCCAAAAATGCGGTAAGAAGTACAGCACCATGGCCTTAGTCATCTGCACTGCCAAAATGAGCGAACCCTATCTATGCTGGAGCCAAAGACAGCCAGAGTAAGGAAATCAGAGGCCATCATCATGGCTGTTCCTCAGCCATGGAGACTTGTCCTCAGCAAAAGATGTCTCCCCAGCTCCAAGTTCTCCCGAGGAGAACTTCTTGTGTCTAATGGCCAGGATGGTTTTGAGTTGCATGGGACCTCCTACGCAGCATCTTAGGATTCCACTGGAGAAATGCACTGAACCAGGACAACCAGGACCAACCATTCTTGGTCCTTGTAACCAGCTTCTTCATCCCGCAGCCCAGCTGCTAACAGGTTCTCCCACAAAGCACAAATCCTTGTTTAATTGCACAGTGCTTTTCTCAGGTGATGGCTGCTGGTGAAAAGTGTGCCGAACACAAAGAGGCAGTGAACCTTGATTCCCATTTAGTTATCGTTGAATCCACAAAAGCTAACAGCACTGAAAGACTTCATTTAACCCCAGCGTCACTGCTGAGTTGATGAATTGGAAGAAGGGGAGAAACTGGACCTAGAGAAAGCACGAGAAATTGGTACCAGCTTGCTGCAGAAGCTGTTTGAAGACCTTGCTGTAAAGATATTTCTGTCAAACTATTTCTAAGCATTAATGACACTACATTGTGCCAGTGTATTATAAGAAAAAAAATGGAGAACAGGAGTTAGTCACGCCGTCAGCAGTGTGTTCTGATGTTCGACAATGGTATAGGTATCCTGACCCTAGCTGTAAGTTATTTTAACTTTTCTTCACTCGCTGACATAACGGAAGGTCAATGTTTCACTAAAAGACTTTATGATAGAAGGTGTAACTGCGTCTCTTCCCAGGGAAGCCTGTCTGTGCTTTAAGAACAGGTAGGTATGCTGTATTTTTTTCTGAAGGTCTTTTAAAAAATGGCAAATAAAATTCCTCAGACTGATGGTGTTAACAGATGATTCATAGCGTAGGCAGAGGTACCCATAGCCAGAGTCCTATGATTTCATGAGTCCTAAAGCAGTATTTCTGAGACACCGTGATCAGATGTGCCCCAGTAGTCCAGCTCAGCACAGCTTTTTTAATAGCTTTGCAATCTGGGCTGTTAGTATTGTACTGTGGCAGTCAGGAAACATGGGACTGGATCCAAACAGTGTCATATGTGGTTAACAGGTAATGAATACTGTGTTTAATTTTTCTCTGTTCTCCATCCACCAGCCTCGCCCACCAACAGACCTGGGTTTCAACTTTGATGCCAATAAACAACAAAGACAGCTGATAGCAGAGCTGGAAAACAAAAACAGGTAAAAACCAAGCTTTGATCAGTATTGTTTAAGGAGCAACATTTGAGGAGAGAAAAGCCTTTAATCCTATGCTTTGTTGTTTTTAACTGTTTGTATTATATTAACCAGATTGTTTTCCTAGATCTTTTGTTGAAGGGTGTAGCTCCCTCATTAACCAATTAGCACCATGCTGATGCAGCTGCAGTGCTATTATTTATTCCTCAGGGAGCAGGTTGATCTTTTTAACTGATCTTCTTGAAATCATCTTAACCAATACCAAGGATCAGTATTGCTGCCCTCAAACCCAGCAAACATCACAGCTGGGTAAGCCATTCAGGTGGCAGCAGGAAAATAAATCAGCTATGTAGTAGAGCAGGCAGGTTGAAAGGCTGGGGTGGATAAATATAAGTTGGGAAAAATGAGGATTTTTTTCCTTTTGCTGGAAGACAAAAGAGTCTGAGGAAATTAGGAGGCCTGAAAAAAAATAGGAGATGGACTGTAGGAGCTGATTTCCTCCTCTTGTTCCAGAGGGGCTGTTAAGAGATAACTGTTGTAATACTGCATTTGCACTTACCTTCTTCACCACCCACACGCCAAGTTCATGTCCCTCTGCCTAAAAGAAAGTAAGGGGGTGCTGTTCTGAAAAGCAAGCTGTTGAGCAGTTGCAGAAGCCAGCAAGTCCCCTCGGGGTCCCGGTGCTGTGCTGGCCTCACAGCTACACCCGGGTCTCCCTGTGCTGGGTGCGTGGGCTTGCATGGCCCTTGGGCCTTGAGAATTGCCAAGGCAGCCTCAGCAGACCAGGTAAATAGATTTAGTAAGGTTCATTTGGAGGAGTCCCAGTTCCTGGAGAGTTTGTGTACCTTGATCCTTGTACCATGTGAGTGTCATAGTTTTAGTACGCTACCAAGAGAGCCTGCAGGTATTTGAAATTATTCATTAAGATCACAGATAAGGGAGATCTAAATCGGTGCTGTTATGAAACTTCATAAGGAGAGCAGCTTAAAGAAAGAGCAAGGGGGAGAGATTTAGAGATTGTAATCTTCACTCTCAGATCAGAAAGATTTTATTTCTCTGGTAATAAATGAGTGCTGAGCCGCAAGGGATGCATCTCCTACCCACAGCAGCTGGGAGCACGTGCGGCGCTGCGGCTGCTAGCTGCTTGCCTTCCCTTTGTGAGGCCTTGGGGCAGCTCGTCTCTGTTCCTATGAGCTGATATGGCCAGGAGCTAGTGCTTGGCTTACTCCTGCTGCCTGCCAGGAGCCTCACGAGGCTGAGTGGGAGGCCAACCAGCTCCAGCCCTGCTGCCGGTGCCGCTGCTTCAGAGCCCTTCTGATGGAATAAGTGCAAGAGCGGGTGGTGCTGAAAATGGAGCTGCTTCCTCTTAGAGCAGTCCCTTAGCCCACTGCACACAAAAAGGTTTTGAAGAGACCTTGCCAGCATATGGCACACGAGCAATTTCATGCGTCTTATTACTTAAGTAATAAACGTTCTGTGTGTATTACAGCAATTTGTAGGATTGCGCTAACTTACCTGTCTCGGATTTGAGTCTGTGCCAGTCATACGTGAACAAAACTGAGTACTTAGACCGGAGACTGACAGAAAGAGTGCTTGAAGGGTTATAACAGTATTTTAAGAGCAGTCTAAAGGCTGACCCTATTCCTCTTTAATCTTTCCTATCACTGATATAGAGAGATACTCCAGGAAATTCAGCGTCTGAGACTGGAGCATGAACAAGCCTCGCAGCCCACACCCGAGAAAGCCCAGCAGAACCCAACTTTACTGGCTGAACTCAGGCTTCTACGGTAAAAGAAATATCTAAAAGCTTGTCTGCATTTGGTACCAGGGCTGATCAGCCCATGTGGTCTGCTCTGTAGCACAGACAATGCTAAATGTTGTCCTGGATGGCATAACAGCAGCATATCTTCAATAACCCTAATGTTTTACTTTGAACTGCTGAATTCTGACGACTGACAGCATATTAGAATTTGTTCTTTTATAAGTGGATTTAGATGTAAATAAAAGTCTCTGAAAATGAATTCTTTGTATAGTTCAGAAAACTGTTTGCAGAGAAGAAAAACTGAGAAGAAAAATATTTTAACTGCTTTTTATGTATTGTACAAAAGGGTGGAGTTGAAGATAAGTGTTAGTTATTTGATTAATCACTGAAACTATGAAAATTCATACCTACAAATATTAAGACACACAGCCACAGCTGGAGAAATATCTTGAAAGCCTCTTCAAGGTTACATTTTTAAGTAATGGAGAAATTGTCAGTATTTATAGAATAAAATGTTTCAGAGTTTGGATAGTCACAAGTGTATTCTCTGGCTATATTTTATTTCATCTTCCATTGCTAGTTAATTTCATAGCTTAACCTTCAAAAGTGGTGTTTGTAATCTAAAGTACATTTTAAAATTTGAGCTCTTGGCAGCAACAGCTCTCTGAAAACTACATTGTATTTTATTTGCTGGGGTAATTTTTTTTTTCTGTCCACTTAGGAAATAGCAAAGTTGTTGTGCTTCCCATTAATGCTTAAAGGTTTTCCATAAACTGCAGTGTTATTGTAACGGAGCTGCTGCAACTGAAGGTGGTGTCTGCAGAGTATAATCTGGTCCCATACGGCAAAACTTAAAGCTTTCAAATTCTGTCATTACTTTTTCATACAGAATGTGCTACATTATGGTACATTTCATATCTCACTGGTATTTTCATTCTTTTATCTAATGATAACAGTGCAGAGATTTTCTAGCTATGTGCTTTACATAGCTATGTGTGTATTCTTTAAATGTTTAAAAACTGGGGAGGAAGCAGAAGATATCAACAAATGTTATGCAAGAGCTGGAAAAAAGGATATTGCGAGGCAACTTGATATGCTGTTTGATCCAACAGAGAAAGATGTAATAGGCACCAAGAGCTTAAATTGGAAACAAGGCACGTTCAGACCACAGATAAAGCACATGTTTTTTGAAGTGAGGCAATAATCTCAAGAGCAGTAAGAGCTTACCAGTTTCTTGATGCCTTTCATAGAATCACAGAATGGTTTGGGTTCAAAGGGACCTTAAAGATCATCCAGTTCCAACCCCTGCCACGGCAGGGACACCTCCCACCAGCCCAGGCTGCCCCCAGCCCCATCCAGCCTGGCCTTGGGCACCCCCAGGGATGGGGCACCCCCAGCTCCTGGGGCAGCCTGCACCAGGGCCTCACTGCCCTTAGTGGTTAGAGTAAAGAATTTCATTTCAGGCAGACATTTGAGCTTTCGTTTTAGAGATGGAGAGAATACCACATCCCCTCATCCTGTTCGTGTGCTCGTCAGTTAGCTTCTGTGCTTTGTCTGTGCTCAGTGGGCTAGGATTGTGCATGTCATTTCTAACCTTCGTATGCCGAGTGCCATTTTCCAAACCTTGCCTTTCTCTGTGCTTTTGTCTGCTGAGCCAAAGAGATCTTTTTCAAAATTCCTGTCTGAATGCAAGTTCTTAGAGATTTTGACTCCTTCCCTTCTTCCTCTGTCCCTGAATAAATGACTTCGACAGGCTGGAGGGATGGGCCGAGAGGAACCTCATGAAGCTCAACAAGGGCAAGTGCAGGGCCCTGCACCTAGGGAGGAATAACCCCAAGCACCAGTACAGGCTGGGAATGACCTGCTGGAGAGCAGCTCTGCAGAGAGGGACCTGGGGGTCCTGGTGGACAGCAGGCTGACCGTGGGTCAGCAATGTGCCCTTGTGGCCAAGAAGGCCACGTTAACCTGGGGTACATTCGGAAGAGTCAAGAGCCAACAGGTCAAGGGAGGTGATCCTGTCCCCTCTGCTCAGCCCTGCTGAGGCCTTACCTGGAGTATTGTGCCCAGTTCTGGGCTCCCCAGTACTGGAGGGACATAGAACTACTGGAGGAGGGCTGTGAAGATGCAGAGGGGCCTGGAGCACCCGTCACACAAGGACAGGCTGAGAGAGCTGGGCCTGTTCAGCCTGGAAAAGAGAAGACTGAGGGGAGACCTCAGAGGAGGTCTACTTGGAACCAGAGGTCCCTTTCAACCTCATTCTAGGATTCTGTGATTCTGTGAACTTCTTCAGTCTCTCCATACAGCAGGTTTGCCAGATCTCCAGCTTGCTGTCAAGTTTTTCTCAAGTCCTCTGCATCTCTTCTATATATAAGCTGCAGGGCTGGCTGCAGTGTCTCCTAAGTAGTCACTGGTGCTATAGATAGAGCTAATGTTAGCTTTCTTAGCACCACACATCACTCTCATTAATAAATTCAAAGCACACATTAATTTTCTTGACTGCATAGCATCACACTGGAAGTTCACAATTGGGTTAGCTGGGATGGCAACGTACTCACCAAGTCACGGCCACCCAGGAGCCCTTCCCCAGGCCTGTGTGAGCAGTGCCTGATGACCTTGCTTTCGGTAACATTTAAGCACACGTTACCAAATCATCTCAATTGCATGTATAAAGGCAAGAAAAAGTTAATCTGTGGAAAATCAGCTTGTCACAGGTTTAAAAATTTGCAGACAACACAGCCCATCAGGATGAGTCAGCTCTACCACATTGTTGGCAAAGGTAACCTTGGATGAAGTAAGGCTGCATCTGTCATCTTACACATTTCTGTCCTGTTGTTCTTAGTTTCTTCTGCTTGCATGTGCTCGGGATGCTCATTTATACACAGGTGCCATGGATCAGTTTGTTCCAGGCATATGACTCAAACTGCATCTCTCCGTTTCTGTCTCTAGAGACTGACCTGTCATTTTTATCCTATAACATTTAACACCTTTTGTCATTGACAAACAGTTCCTCTTTTTTTCTTCCCTGAAATGAAAAAAAAAAAGAAAAAAAAGAACATCAACCAAAATCTGATACACACAATGATGTTGATTCTTAATTAACAATTACATTTGGAGAGCTGCACATATTCAATATGTTGATTTTTACATTATTTGCAATTGTTTACCAGAATGTTCTATTAAATAACTACAGAATAAAAAGCTACAGGATTTGAACTGATCTACAGAAAAGGGATAATATAAACATATAGAGCTATGTTTATCATGCTTTTTTAATGTAGGAGCCTGTAGCAAGGCAGGGCTTGGTCTGTTCTCCCACGTGCCTGGTGACAGAACAAGGGGGAATGGGCTTAAGTTGCACCAGGGGAGTTTTAGGTTAGATGTTAGGAAGAATTTCTTTATGGAAAGGGTTGTGAGGCATTGGAACGGGCTGCCCAGGGAAGTGGTGGAGTCACCATCCCTGGAAGTCTTCAAAAGACGTTTAGATGTAGAGCTTAGGGATATGGTTTAGTGGGGACTGTTAGTGTTAGGTCAGAGGTTGGACTGAGTGATCTTGGAGGTCTCTTCCAACCTAAATGATTCTGTGGTTCTGTGATTCCAGGTGACCATGCGTATATAATCATCTCTTCAGTGCCTCGTTTTTTTTTTATCTATATATATTTGGGGGGGGGGCATTTAATAACCACATTCATCAAAACACAAAAAGAGTTTAAAGATACCACGGATAGCTAATCATACTGTAGTGCTCATAACGTTCTGTTCTTTGAAGAATCTGTATAGAAACTGGTTAATTCTGTAATGCAGCCTTAACAGTTTCCTGGTTGGGGTGAATGCTTGCTGTATCCACAGTCACTACAATAACAGCAAGCCATACTCAACAGATCCATTCCGTCTGATAAGAGGCCTGTTTCAGTTCCGGATTCTGAAGTCCAATTGGTGCTTCTAAAACCTGTTGGTTATTAAAATTCCCAGAATGATTTATCCGTTGTACATCATGTAAGAGTATAGATAAGATCTAAGGCATTTAAAAATTCAGTCTTCAATATGTGGTGCCTTTAACTTTGGAGGAAGACATTATTATGTCCACAAAAATAACTGTCAAAGACTAGATAAGCCTTCCTCATCTGCTTTTTCTTACAGTTATTTATTATTCCCAAGTTCGTGATTTGTGGGGTCCAGCATTTTTTAAATCATACAAGATACTGAACTTCGGACGTGTTGACAGTTCGTCTTTGAATTTCTCTTTGTATTAGTTACTTCTTTGTGTTTTTTTTAAATATAAAAACGAACCATACGGTCATATTTCCTTAGATCTCCCGCAGATAGGCATCTGTAGAAATGCGGTGGTTTTTTGATGCCAAGGAGAGGGAAAGACACTTATTGCCTCCTATTCTTGTTACATGGGTTCTGGTAGAATAGAACAAACGTGTCAAAGATCATACGTCACCCTGCTGGACAGAAATAGCTCTGCCGAGTCTCCATCCAGATAGGTGATAGCCCAGTGCTTTTCCTTTCCAAACATCTGCAGCCTTTTCTCCTCTTTTTTTTTTTTTTTTCTTTTCTTTCTTCCCTCCCATAGTTCATTCTTACTTGTCTGAAAGCTCTGCAGGATGCCTGGCTCTGACGTTAAGAGTGTTCTTAAAAGGAAGCTGGCTTTTTTTCTCAAAATACAGTGCTTTTGAAAAAAGCTTCCTACTACCAAGATGTTAACTGTAGATTTCTGGATTTTAAGTGAAAAGCATGATTTTTGTATTTAGGTTTCATGGTCATTGTATGGTATTTTGCAATATTTTTATAAATTGGAAATAGGGGGGAGTGACAAAAAGCAGTTATATCTGAATTTCCTGACGTGGTTTTGAAATACCCAAAGTTTATTTTCTGAATTTTTCTTTCATATAACTTGAACAGGCAGAGAAAGGATGAACTGGAACAGAGGATGTCTGCACTCCAAGAAAGCAGAAGAGAACTGATGGTGCAGCTTGAAGGGCTGATGAAACTGCTCAAAGTAAGCCATTTCATGTCAGAAATGCAGTGCATCCTTCTCTCCCACAGGTCTGGAATTCACTATTGCCGTTCTGAGATTCCTGCTTTGCTGTTTTTACCATTATAAATACTTCATATAGAATACAAGGAATTTGCAAAAAGTCATTTCCTTACTGGCTCTGCATATTGGTGCAGATGGTTAATGAGATTTCAGGTTCGTATGCTGCTCTTTTCGTTAAAATATCAAGAACATGTAAGAATAGGAAGGTTTTGGAGAAGAATTAGATTTGGTAATAATCTACATGCTGTTCTGGGTAACAATTCAGTTCTTCTGAATTTAACTGGAAAATAAACAGGAAACTATAGTTGCTGTAGTACAGAATATGACTCCCCAGTGGCATGGCAGTGTTTCACCAAGCACTACTACAGTAACCTTCGACGATTGTAGATGATTTGTGTTATGATGGTGTTGGTTCTGGTCTGTATTGCATGATATTGTTTGGATTTCTGTTGAGGGTCCATTATTCTTTTCATAGCATACTGCCAGGATTGAGCTCATAGTTAATTACCAAAGTTTGAAATATTACTGTGTGTTTTTTCTTTCAATTCTTTAAACTGGACAAGAGCCTCATTCCATAAAATGAACGGGAAAACATTGTCCTTATTCAAAGAGTTTTTGGTCTAAGATGCAACAAAGATACAATACACAGTGGAAGAAATGGGAGAGGGATCACAGCAGTTACAGTGGCAGGAAAAGCACAGGGTTTTATGGTTTAGCTATAGGCACCTCTTGATAGTTCTAGAAAAACGTAGAGCTTGTCTGCACTTGAAAATGATAGTTAATTCACGTAGTATATAAACCTGAAGTTCAGTCACTCTTTTCTTCAAAACACTCAATACATAATACAACTCACTTGTATTCTGGAATAAGAATGTGCATACAAGGCTATGATCAAATACTCTTTAGAGGTAGCTGTTGTTTTTTTTTGTTGCTGTTGGTTTTTTTAGCTTCCCTGTGCAGATGAGCACATGGCTAGAATTAATATTTGGGAGGTATTTTTTTATGCCAGTGGTTCTGCACACTGTAATTTTTTTTTCCACTCAGACAGTTAACATCCGTCTTCTAAAAATATTGAAGATAATAATTTGCTAAATTCAGCTTGACTTCTGCAGACCCTAATCCCTTGTGAGTTCAAGTGTGAGTTTCTGAAGATGGGCATCCAAAACTGAATTACGAATTTCAAAAAGTACAAAACGTTGTTGCATCAGAACTGGTTTGATTCTTTGTGGTTGAGATGACCACAGCCTTAACATTTTAGGCGTTATCTTGCACACACAATCAGCACAGATATTTTGCTTTAAGGTGGTGACAAGCTCTGGTGCATGTTTTTCTGTAGCCCCTACTGTTTTCAAAGCACTCATGAGCCTTCAGACATTAATCCTCCCGAACACGACCTGGTGTGAATGCTGTCATCTCCATTGGGTTGAGTGGCTGTTCTGTCATCCGGCCTGACTTTCTGCTCTTCCACCTTGAAAGCCTTGAAGGCAAGGTGGGCTAAGAGAGGTGCACTACTTGGAACCTCTACAAGCAGCCTGCAAAACTTCATCTGCCCCCTAGCCACGGGTGAATTGACGCCGTGCTCTCCTGGCCATCATGTTTCCAACTCCTGACTGCCCGAATGGTGTGTGCAGCCTCTTGCTCAGCTGCTTGGACAAGGGAGCGTGGCGTTGTGTGGAGCAGCAGCAGATGCTGATATCAGTAACTCACTGGTGAGGAGAGCAGAGGCTACGGCACGATACTGCAGAGCAAAGGGAGCACGTGGGCACCAGTGGCAGCATTGCAACTGGGGAGATGGAGGAGGGAGGAAAGGGCATTGCAGGAGGGGGAAGGGAAGCATAACTGACCCCCATCTGATAAACCCATGTTTTTAGGACCCATTTGTTAACTTTGAACATGCAGTCCACTTCTACCAGAAATTACAAGCTTGTCAGAAAATTTTAATGACATTGCTAGGCGGTATTACACAGAAGGTTAGAAGCAGTCTCTTACTAGACTTTTCATTTATGAATCTATTGTCTTTTAATTAACTTCCCCAGTTTCCAAAATTGCTAAAAAACTAAGGGCAAGTAGGAGTGGATCTAAGGAAGAACTTCTTCCCCAGGAGAATGATGAAGCAGTGCAGCAGGTGCCCAGAGGGGCTGTGCCATCGCCATCCTTGGAGGTTTTCAAGGCCCAAGGGGACAGAGCTCGGATCAACCTGGTCTGAGATTACTGTCCTGAGTAGGAGGTTGGACTAGAGACCTCCTGAGGTCCCTTCCAACCTGAGTTATCCTATAAGCCTGTGACTGTTATAATTATTTAGTTTTACATGTTGCATAATATGGTTCTTTGAATTTCCCCCTTATTAGCTCTATATGGAGCCTGCCAGCTTGTCTTTGATGAAAGCATCTTCCAGAAAGACATCTGTTCCTGAACTGATGAAATCAAAAATGGAAAATCCACTGCCAATGCAAATTTGCTTGCACAGTTAAAAATGTATACCTTATTTTGAGTTTTAATGTATTTAGCTTCAGTTTGCACACATGGGCTCTGGTACATGTGGTTCTTCCTCCATTAAATCAAGGAGTTCTTAGTGTCCCTGTTTTTTACCCTGTGCAGATATTTACTCCTCACACTGACAGCACTCCTCAATCTTCTTTGGACAGGTAGAGTTCTGCTGAGTTTTTCATAATACTGCACTTCAGTCTTTTTTTTTATGATTTTATTTGCCTTCTGCTGATATTTAATAGTATTTTTTAAATTGGGCAAAAGCAAACTGTACGTTGATTTCTTCTCTGACTCTAAGCAATATATATACTAAAACTATACAGGGAGTTACAAGAGTAGTTTTATTATTCTTCATTGCTATTTTCCTTTTTGTGCCTTTCTGCACCAGTGACAGCTTTTTGAATTCTGTCAGTTATCCTGTTCTTACTCCATGTAACGTGCTTTGTTTGTTTTGTATAGTGCTAACTGGTTAACGAGAATGTCACAATTAAATTTCCTCATATGAAAATATATTACATCTGTGCAGTTCCTGTAGAAGCCAAACTTGTAATACATTCAAATAACAAAATCAGATTTATTTGGCAAGACCTATTTTCCATGAAGCTATAAAGCTTCATACATTACTTATTAGTTGAGTCTTGTATCAGCATTTCTGTTACTTTGAATCAATTAATGATACGGCAAGATGTTTATACTTAATTGTGTTGTCTTATCTCCCTTTTTGAATATCAGTGCAAGACGGCACAACCCAGTCCTTGGTCCCTTCTAGGATCTGTTAAAAATTGCTTTAACTGGACCAGATAACTCCTCATGCAATTACTGTAAGAGTTTTGGCTACAAGCTGCCCAGGCCTATTGATCTAAAAATAGTATTTCTAGTAGATACTCTTTTAACACGTTTTCCCATTATTGGTGGAAAGTGTTTCACTCTTTGCTGACGGAAACTACAAGGGGAAAGTACAGCGTCCTCCTATGACTCAGACACAGAAAAGAAATACTAATTCCTATTCCCCTATTAAGAATTTTACCATCACTATCAAGACCCAATATACACTGCCTCGAGGCTTTGTTTTGTTTCTGATATTTGTGTTCATTTCAAAGACTCCTTTCTGGCGGCTTTAGCCCTGTCAGACATGAATTTTTAGTTCAAGTTTTAGCTACTCTTCTAATTTGGTGCTCTTAAAAGTTTTCATTTATAATTTAGATCAGCTGTTAAGCTTTTATGTTTTTTCCATTTTCTTATACAATATTTTCTGCATTTTTAATGCCACCGTCATTTCAGTATTTAGAGCTGGATTCATCTTACCTAACTTTGGTGATCTGAAAGTCTGGTATCTCAGCTCCCTCTGTAAACAGGAGAGAGAGGGAAGCATACATTTGGAAAGACACAGTTGTTCTCTGGAGGTTCGTTTATTTTTTTCCATTAAATATAGAAGGAGCCCAGATGATTAATTGATATTGGATGCCTTTGTTTTCAATGGGTACGTTAGGTAAGGTGAATCCTGATCAAAGCAAGAGGAGTTATCACTCTAATCTACTCTGGTGATTTATCTAACACTATTTTTAACAGACTTTTTACATCTTTGTTACATATTTTGATCTCTGCATTTTCCTTCATTTTCATTTATAACTTCGCTACATTCTGAAAAAAATATTCAGTTTAAAGCTTGGTCCAGGCAAGTTCTCATCCCATGGTGCTGGGGCAGGGCCTCCAGCTGTGAGGGCTGACCCGTGCTGTGATGGCGGCCTCGGAGTCACAGAGGGGCCCTCAGCTGGCTCGGTTGTGTGTGGGGGCAATCGAACCCCCACAGTTTGTGTCCCACTCTGATGTTTGTTAGCCAGCACAGCCATCTGCCCACACTGCTGCAACATGCACCCAGGTTGCTCTTTGCACAGTGTGTGCTTCTGAACCTTGTACTTGACGTTGGCCTCGGGGTGTGCTCCGTGCTGTGGCACTCAGGAGGCCGCAGGTTCTGGGGTGTAGGCACCTGTGGGTGGTTTGTCCTGGAGGAGTTCAGGTCCTTCAGCTCTTCACAGTGTCATCAGTGGTGTTTTGGCTGCTCTGTCCAATGCTCTCTGAAACCCTTTGAGCCTTTGAACTCTGGGCCAGTCTGTTAGCACTGGGCAGCGTTCCTCGGATGGCACCCACAGCGCTGCCCAGGCGGCCTCCAAGCACCATACAGACTTAGCAAGCACCAGCTTGGATAAGGCCATCCCAGTCTGGGTGATGAGAGGTGACAACAGTGTGAACGTGCAGATCACACCAGAGAGCAGGCCTACGTGCAGCTGAGGCGAAGACCAGGGCCTTGCGCCTGAAGGGCTCCTGCAGTGGCCACCATGGTGCTGCCCATGGCTCTCGTGTCCCCCGGCAGCTCTGGTCACCTCCAGTTAGGCAGAAGTGGATCAGATCCTTGCACATGAGAGGCCTCCTGTCCACCCCAACTGCACAGTGGCCAGTTACCTGCCAGCGGTGTCACCAGTGCCCCCTTTCAATGCTTTTTATCTTCTCCTCATCCAGGCTGTGGGCTTACCTTTCTGTCTTTTCTTCTGAAGACTTCTTTAATCACCTAGTGCCATTAGCTGGCACTCTTCTAATAAGTAGTCAGCAGTGATGATTGTCTGCCTTCTTGCAGGGTTTTTGCCTTAAGCTACAAGGATATTCAGCAGACATATCCCATATCACTTTTTTCCATTTCCTCAATGGTAATTTCCTCACTAGCTGATTTGATGATTTATCTAATAACTGCTCAGTTCTTCCTAGCAAAGCTCCACGTCTCTTGAGATTTTTTTTTTCACATCTGTAGTTAATGCTAAAGCCTCATTTTTCAAGCTAACAACTTTTTTGTAGAGTGAAGATCATTTAAGATCTTTTCCCTGACCTGGCTCACCATCTGGTCCTGTGAGTCCCCGTGCTTGTAGAAGGAACAACTGGAAACATGTGGGAATGGGGAGGGAGGGCAGCAGTGGCCTCCGCAGCCGATGTTGATTCATGGTTCAATGACACCATGCCCTACATCTGCTACATCAGTGCCTAAATGTGCACCTGAACCACCCCACATCTTGGGAGAAAAAATAAAAATAAATATAAATATATCTGCTCAGAAATGTGGAACAATGTGGTTATGTGTTACTGTACATCTCCGCAGTCACTTCCAGTGTATCTCTGTAGTGCCCTCAGTGCACAGTCAGGAACACATCTTTATCTTTTGGTGTAGTGGTCAGTGAAAAGAAACTACTCCAGATTAGGGGACAGAGTCTGGTTAGTCCTACTCAGACAGGAAATAAATGAGGGAAGGTGGATAAATGGGTTCATAGATCTCAAGGTCAGAACTTCTATTCCATTCAAAGTCAGCAACTTCTATTCCATGAATTTTGATTCCATGAACTGAATTTCTGGGGAGATGTGCTGGGGAGTGGTCCTGCTGCTCACTGCACTGGCACTCCATGCAAAGCCACTGTTGGAGGGAACACACACTGTTACCCTGAAAAAGCTGTAATTACTAATTCTGCAAACACGAGTACTCAAAAAATATGCTGCCTACCTATCTTTCTAATGCACACTGTTGCTACCCCACCACAGCTGCCATGCTCCTCCACACAACCAAGCCCACATGACAGAACAGCCTGTAGAGCTCAAAATGGTGTTCCCATTGTTATACTGGTGAGGACAACATTTACGAAAACATTTGAATTGTGAAAGAAACTTTCAATATATGATATTTTGCTCATACCCAAAAAGGCATGTATAGTTGAAGTTAGTGTGATTCTGCTGGCCCAGGAGGATCATAGCATACATTTCTCTGATTCAAAAGCTGATAAATTCATCCATATTTCACTATTTTTGGTCTTTCAAATTAGCGGTGGTCCATACTGATAGTAGTTGCATTGCAACAATGGAATTGTTCTCTCTTCTTGCCTACTCCGTATCTTTGGTGTTTCTGTCTCCCAGTTTCTCTCCTCCCATTCTAGATCTGATTGCCTGCCACTCTTTAATTTGCCCTTTTGAAATCTGATCTGCAGAGGTCACTGCAGGTCCGGTGCTAGTGGTCACTCTGTGATCAAAAAGGTGATATTTTAGCTCTCACGTTATGACAGTTTTGGTCTTTGTGATGGCAGATTTGTGCATGCAGGAAACCAAATGCGTTGCATTGATTGCACACTTCAAAGGGTGTTTCCAGACTTTTGAGGGTGGTAGTCTGGTATTTCTAGACTGAAAGTAAAATTGTCTTGAGGACAACTAGAGAGTCATTTCTGAGTCTAGGATAGGAAGAGAAACCAGTACAGGTTCTGCTTCAAGCAAAGATCACAGTAGCATCCATTCCACATTTTCAACTTTCCCAAATACTGGTGGCCATTTTAGATGAGTCTTCTTTTGAGAATGGAACAAATTACATCTTTGCTTTCCCACCACAACAGTTACATCTAACTTCCGTGTTTCCGTTTGTGTCTACAGATGTTTCTCCGATTTGCCATGTTCTGTTCTTTCATTGGATCTGTTATAGATTTTGTGTATGTATGTTTCCTTATAGTACAATAATTAATCTACCCTGTTTCTCTCTTCACCTTTTTCTTTTGCCAACGATTATAGGAAGAAGAGCAAAAACAGGCAGTAAGTTGACTTCAGTTTGTAGGTGATCTAACTTTTTTTTCTTACTGCATGAAAATACAATTTTCTGTTAATTGGCTTGTATGTATATAAACCACAGGAATGCGGGGTCTTTCTCACATCTGAATTTGAAAGCAGCCTTCATGATTATCCAGTAGAGCATGTTTTTGTGTATGTCCTTAAAGTTATTCCGCTATCACTTTCACATTGAGCTGATTGCCGTGGGTACACAAGCGGTGACTGTATTCATTAGTTTTTTATGGAATTGTGCATGACCATCCAGGGTTGAAATGTGGGTTCTCAGCTGGCTTCAAAATTTATTATCTCAGAGATTCTTTAGAGTGCTTTCCATACTAAGAAAGCTTTCTTGTCTCTTCAGGTATCCTTAATTTGCCTCTTTGCCACATGCAAGTCCATGCATGAAAACTAATTAATGACTTAATATTCTAGGCATGGATCCATATCATTCAATCATGATATAGTCTCCTTGAATTAGTCCCAGTATGCTCATTGTAAACAGGATGAGTAAACTAACAAGAGACAAGAATGCATTTACTTTTTACTGATGTTCATTTTCTCTGCCCACCTATTAAAATCTGAATCCTGTGTTAATTTCCGAATCCACTCCAGAGGGAGCCCTTTTGCTTTTCTCAGAAATAACCAGATGTTCAGTGTCTTCTCTCCAACAAAACATTTTTTCAGCATTTTTGAGCATGTTTTTCTTTGTACACAAAGCATTAATGAAAATTAGTCCTGTGTTTCCCATTGGCTTTATTTTGTTGTTGTTAAATGTTGTCAGATATATGACATGAATTGGAAATACTCGTGACTTTTTTTTTTTTTTTGTAATGACATATATACTTCTGGTTAATTTCAATTGCTGAAAACACTTCAATACTACATGTGCTGAAATTGGCTTTTGGTGACTCCTGGATGGCCATTTATTAAAATACTGTCATCAACTTAAAAAGAAGATGGTGGTAAGTGTGCATCTTCTGTTGGAGCCTAGTTCATCTTTAGTTGATGCTGCCAGTGAAGATTTATCCCTGGGTTTGCTAAGGCACCTTGCAGAAATTCTTTGGCTTAATGAAGGGACCAGATTGCAGCATGTGGCAGTGATCTTCAAGGAATTTCCTGGAGAAGGGAAAGCAACCAACACGCCACAGTCCCTGTCCTCCCACTTCATACTGTGCAAGTGGAATGTTGTATCGCATGTCATTCTCTTATCCAGTATCATTGCTAGGAATGATCATCTGCAAGGAGATGCAGAATTTTATTAGCTTGTTTTTCCCATGCTGTGATTTTTCATCCTGATTATGGATATAGAAGAAGGGTAAATATGAGATCAAAGGAAGAACTTGCCCAATTTTTCTTCCCTTCCCTCCCTGGAGCACTATGTTAGTAAGAGGATAAGAAAGCCAAAACTGACTGCTAAAATAATGTCCACACATTGTTACACTTCCCAGTCCCATTCTGTTGGAATCAGTGATGAATGAGCCAGAAAGGATTTGAAGTTCAAGAAAGCAGATTTTGACCAGCCAAAGAGCACGTAACTGATCTGTATGTAGGAACTGAAACTTTACATCCTTACCTATCATGGGCTGAAAAAGACTGGAGTTGCTCTGCTCCTAACTGTAGAGGTGCAGCCTGGAAAAGATGAAAGTCTCAGGGCATGGTGTTCTGCTTGGCTAAGAAACACACAGTCATAGAAATCACAGAATAACTGAGGTGGGAAGAGACCTCTGGAGACCATCTCATCTACCTCTTATGCTCAAAGCAGGGTCAGCTAGAGCCCGCAGCTCAGGAGCTTTTCTGATCAGGTTTTGAGTATCTCCAAAACTGGAGACTCCACAACCTCTCTGGGCAACTGGTGCTAGTGCTTCACCAGCCTCACCATAAGAAAGAGTTTTTCTTTATATTTAATGGGGAATTCCTGTATTTCCATGTGTCCCGTTACCTCTGGTCCTTTCACCGGATAATACCAAGAAGGGTCCGGCTCTGTTTTCTTACTCTCTTCCATCGGGGATCAGTACTCATTGTTAAGGTCCCCTCAATCCTTCTGTCACAACTCTTTCAGCCTCTCTTCATATGGCAGATGCACTTGTTTGTCATCATAGTTTTTGGCTATTCCTCAGACCTGCTCCAGTCTTGTTTTGTATCTTTCTTGTACTGGGTTGTCCAGAACTGGCCGCAGCACTCTGGATGGAGCCTCACCATTTCTGGGGAGAGGGGAAGGATCACCTCCTTCATCCTACTGCCAGCACTGTGTCCAACACGGCTCAGGATGCTGTTGACATTTTTTGCTGGAACATCGCTGTTCAACTTGTTGTCGGCAGGACCCCAGCTCTTTTTCTGCCAAGCTGGTTTCCAGCCCCCAGAGCACACTGATGCACGGGGTTATTCCTTCCCAGGAGCAGGACTTTGCTCTCTGTGTTGAACTTGGTGAGGTCCCTATCTGCCCTTTTCTCCAGAGGGATTCAGAGATCTCTCTGAATGCCAGTCCGACCATCTGGTCTATCAGCCACTCCTCCTGGTTTTGTAGTGTCTGCCAACTTGTTGAGGATGTGTGTTGCCCTATCATCTAGGTCATTTCTGAAGCTCTTAAACAGTCTGGCCCCAGTATCAAATCTTGAAGCACACCACTGGTGACTGGCCTCCAGCTGGACTTTGCATTGATAACAACCCTACTCACCCCTCTGTGAGTTGGTGTCTGTGCTATTTTGGAAAGGAGGTAATGGCACATCTCCGGTTTGAAGTCCAAAAGAATTCATTGGACCATACTCTCACTTCTAAATGTCTTCAGGACTTCATGTCATCCGTTTTCTCCAATAACAGGCATACTCGAACACAGGGCTGGCTGGGTGTGAGATCTCAGCTTAAAGAAACACAGCCAACTGAAGAACTTCAAGAATATTATCAAACATGACGCTGTCCTTAAGACCCTCTGCCAGTTTTGGTGGTTGTAGAGTTGCATCTTCCCTCTACATAAAACCCTAGGGTAGGTTGGGAAGGGTACCAGTGCAGTGTGCGCTCAGCCAGCCCCATCCTGTGTCCACAACATCAGGCTTGGACAAAGAGCCTCATCTGATTAGTACTTCACAAGGGCCTACAATCTGGCCCACAAACAGCTGGCCCACATATGAGGGGCAGTGGGGAACACTGTCTGGGTCCTGTGGAAGAGAAGACCCAAGTGCCCTAGTGATCTAGAGGGACGGTCTCTCACCCCTTGATGAGATAGCTAGATTATGTGGTGGTAGCCTGAATTTATGTGAAGGATTAAGGTAAATAAGAGACAAATCAACAGAACAGTCACTGATTCAGTACTGGCTGCACATCAAAAGCAGTAGCATCAGCACCCACTTCAGGAATTTCTGATTTCCCTTCACTGCTAAAGCTGCAAGTCCCATGCTGCCTTCTCCATATTGCTAGCAACAGATAGAGATGGGTCAGAGAGAATCGGTTGTCTTGGCTGTATTCAAGCAAGTTTCTTGGCCAGCAAAAAAATACTACCTGAAGAAGTGACCTTGTTCATTCTGCGTTTAAGGAAACGTACACATTCCAAGGGCTGAACATACCCAGGCTAGCACGGACATTTTGAATGGCTTGGCTGACATCATGAGCCAGCATCGCATCCAGTGCAACAAGACGCCTAGCCGAGAGGAGCAAGCAAGGGTTTGCTCATATATTTGCACCCAGAGTGATTGCACATCTAAGCACTGAGGAGAGACCTTTGCTGCCAGTGGCAGGGCAATAAAAAGTTACTTGGCTGCTGAGGTTCCTACCAAGTACCTACAGAAAACTGTGTGGGAACTGACTTCCATTTCCAGCAGAAGGCTAGGTGAGCACAGTGACACCTGAGACAGCAAACTCCAGACACAAACTCCAGTCCTCAGAAGGCCAAAAAGCTGTGGCTCTCTGGGCCAGTCTGGCTCGAATATCATGGCAAGCTATAGGGAACTTGTATCACGAGAGGTCCGCTATTTCTCATCCTGGTTCAGAGTTGATTTTCCATCAAGATTTTGAAAGTTTCTTTACTGTCTTTCCCTTCACAAGACTGCTCCTTCAAATCACTTGGGCCAGTCCTGGTTACACCCTCATGGAAAAATGCCTTGTGTAGAGATATTGCAGTGAAGGGGTATTAAGCCACAAGGTATTCATAGTCCATCACACCATTCTCTATTACTGCTAAAATTGTTGCGTCCCAGCTAATAAAGATCATTTCCAGCATAGATCTTAATTTACAACAGGACCGTTTTCATGTCACAGCTGGTGAGAGACTTAAATAATCTGCTAAATATTAAAACCTTTGTTTTATAGTCAAATGAACAGCCATTGGAGCTGTACTGTTCACTATTCAGAAGAACGTTAAAGGAACTCACAAAGATGTACATCACATGTATCATGTCTTTGGCATGTAGTACAATAAGACATACAACAAACCCAGAGGAGCATCAAGCACTCGTAATCCAACACAAGAGAAGTGCTCTAATGCCGAACAGGCACAGAAATGGCTTCACAGCAAAGGAGCTCACATGGGAGTGCTTAAGCACTGGAATGGAAATCTTTTCCTTTCTGAGGATGGTGAGAACCGTGCGGCATTGCAGAGCAGATGAGGCTCATGAATTTTGAGGTTATATTACCAATCAGAAGAAGTGGACATGCTGACACCAAATAGCCCCTGTGAAGTTGTGGAAATTGTGGGAGGGTTGCTCCTTAACCCGGTGGATGGGCTGTTTGGAGTCCCAGTTTTCCTGCCTGCACTAGATGGAGATGATACCTTCCACTCAACATGAGCGGTGCAGGGGCAGCAGTACCTCTTCACCTCATTTGCAGTGCACATCCCTTGTCTGTGGTGAACCTTCATAACCAACAGCTAGAGCAAAACTGATCCCAGACAACAAGCTAGGGTGATACCTGTGTTCCTTCCCAAGAGCTGCAGAAACCTGGGAGAGGGGAATTCCTAACCTTGGGGAACGTGTAACAGCTGAAGAAGTCTCATCAAG